TGAGCCCTTGATAATTTATAAATTGTTATTTTGTTATATCTTGCCCTGTCCAACGTCTCCCTTCATCCACTTTTCTGTTGTCCGTCCCCCAGGGAGGAGGTCACATGTAGTTCTTTGGAATTGGTTCCTTCTTTCCTACCCACTCTCCCTCTACCCTCCCTGGATCACCACTCACACCACTGGTCCTGTAGGGCTCATCCGCCCTGGATTCCCTGGATTTCCAGTTCCTATCTGTACCAGTGTACATCCTCTGGTCTAGCCAGACTTGCAAGGTAGAATTTGTGTCATGATAGTGGGACCAGGGAGGAAACATTTAGGAACTAGAGGAAAGTTGTATTTTTCATGATTGTTACATCGCACCCTGACTGGCTCATCTCCTCCCCGAGACCCTGCAAGGGGATCTGCAAGGGGATCTCCAGTGGCCTACTGATGGGCTTTGGGTCTCCACTCCGCACTCCCCCCATCATTCACTATGGTAAGATTTTATTGTTCTGATGATGCCTTATACCCGATCCCTTCGACACCTTGTGGTTGCATAGGCTGGTGTGCTTCTTCCATGTGGGCTTTGTTGCTTCTGAGCTTGATGGCCACTTGATTACCTTCAAGCCTTTAAGACCCCAGACGCTATACGTTTTGATAGCCGGGCCACCCTTGTACTTTCATATAAATTCAAGTTAACATAAAATCATCCAACTACCACACTAAGACTACGTTTAGAAGAGCTATATTATGTAATCTAGGGTATCACAGCCACTGGGACCTCAGAACTCATTAAGGATTCAGGCAAAGAAACACACATTAGAAGCTGTATCTGTCGACAGAGGTGAGAATGGGCAGCAACGTGTCAAAAACTACAGGCACTACACCCAACTGAGAAGTCTAGGCAACACTTCCATGACAAGGAGCTGCCTGAGTGAGACCTAAGGACAGAGTACGGATGAGAGAGTGAGGGGATGAGGCACAGTCCAGCCAAGGGAACAGGGGGAACCAAGGGTGTGGGGGGGGCGGGAAACCACTAAGACGCTGGGGTTAAAGAAAGCATTGAAATATGATTGTAGACCTGTGGCTCGCACTGAGGGCATTTTCAATGTCCAGAGATGTTGTTTTCTTAATTGTGGTATATAATTCAACATTGTGATGACTTTCACACGTACAGTTCAGTGACATTAACTATGTCCATCAGGTTGTTCAATCACCACCTCTATCCATTCCCATCACACTTCACAGAAGCTCAGTTTCCCCTGAAGCATTGCACCCTCATTCCCACTAACCCCTGGTATTAATAAAATTAGCTATTGTCTGAGTCAGGATTCCCAAGAGGGAAAAAAAAGTGAAATGTACATAGCTATAAAATAAATAGATATAGCAAGAAAAACTAACTTCAAGGAAATAATTCATGCAATTGTGATAAAGTGGTTCACCCAATTGTGGGGGCTGGCAAGTCCCAAGTCCAGTCACCAGGCAGCAAGCTGAAGCCCTCTGCTGGCTCATATGATTGTATGGTCTGACATAGCCCAAAACCTGCAGGTCAGACAGTAGGCCGGAGACTTCTACAGGCTTACTTCCAAGAACCAAAGGAAAACTGATGAGAAAGTGCAGGATCAAGAAAAAGAAAGAGCTATGTCAGAACATCAGGGTCAAGCCACAGCACCAAAGAAGCTCCTCTTCCAATTGATTGGCTGTTCACATCAGATCACAAAAGGAAAAGGGACCACCCTATATTACAATGGGGAACAGCAATCAGTTCAATGTTTGCCAGACCACTAAGGAGCATAGAGTGGCCAAGTTGACACATAACAATAACCATTATCCATTTTAGATATTTCATATAAGCGGGGTGTTCCAGAGTTGTCCTTTGTGAAATTTATCTCATTCAGTGTGGCTTCAAGGTTCATCCATGTTGCAACATATCTTAGGACTTCGTTTCTATTTTTACGTGGGTGACATGCCATTGTACACATAGGTACATACCCCACTGTGTTTATCCATTCATATGTTAGTGGACATTTGGGCTGGTTCCACTTCGTGGCTATTGTCAAGAGTGCTGTAATGAAGAGGGACCAGACTTCAACCCAGTGCTCAAAGATGTGAATGCAACATGCCAGCGTGGAGTAGGGAACTAATGGAGAGGTCTTAGGGGCTGGCCCTAATCCCAACTACCACGTGGTGGACACCTGTCTCTCCCCCCTGAAGAATTTATTTCAAAGGACAGCATTGAATCTGCAGCTCTGGGAGAGGGACAAACCTGATCGGAGCACACGGGAGCAGATGACGGGGGAGGAAGAGAGACTGGAGCACTTCCTGGCCCACCAGACCTTGAGGACGATGTTCCCGATTAGAGCAGCCCGTCCACAGAGAGGACCACATGGCCGGCCCCACTATGAGACATGACGTCCCTCACTGACCCATAGCCCTACAGGGGACAACACCGGAGACACAGTGTGGGAATTGCGCCCAATCTGATCCCACCACACCG